TGATCGCTATTATTGCATCGTCGACGCCAATTGTTCATACACAGCCCCACAGCTCACCTTCACCGCCTCAATGCCGCCTGTCTCCTGTTCCGCCCAGGATCGCTTTGCTGTTAATCGAGCTCGCAAATTCGCCCATGGTTGATAAAAGTCGAAGTGGACACCTCAGCTCCTCAATTCTGCCTCTCAGTTCGTTCCTGTGTTCCACCTGGCGATTGCGGCATAATGAGTGAGGTGGGCGATTTCATGATCTATCATCGTGCGTTCTCATGTCCTAACAGTCGCTCATGCATAGATGATTCTGAAGAAGATGTTCTCTGCACATGACTTGCCGGTTAACGCTATCGCGATCAGCAATGATGGCACCGTGATGTTGACTGAAGGTTAGCACCTCGCACTTGTATTCATATCTGGGCCTCATTGGTCGTATTTCTAGCTGATGATGGCTGTGTCATTGCATGGGATATGAAGGCAGGCGAGAAGCTAGAAGAGATATCTTGCATATTTCATGGCCCGGTCATCAGCGTATGCTGGATTGACCTAGGAAAAGGGGACAACCTTGCATTCGTCTGTGGGTGTGCCGATGATACCCTACAGGTCTATCAGAGGGCAGATGTCCGTGTATGTCACATTCCTCAACCTCCCTTTCTCCCTTTCTCACGCACATTCATCCTTAGACTCGCTTCAGTTTGTGCTCTGTGACCTCCGCCCACAAAGGATTCGTACAAGATATCAATTTCGATACCAATAATGGTCGGATTGCCAGTGCTGGAGGGGGTACCGTTTCCATCTGGAAGCTTAACGGAGGCGGTGAGACCATTGTCTTTTGATCATTCGCTCTCTAACAACGGGTCTCAGGCAGTCTCGAAAGTATGACTACGGACGTGCCTGACAAAGGATATATGCTTCAATCGGTCCATTTCTGTGACAGCGGGGATAGTATCCTGTTATGCTACTGCGAGTCACACGAGATGTAAGTTCTCGCTGCCACCTAAACTTGTACTTGTTCAGACTTATTTCGCGATCAGTCTGTGTTACAGTGTAGATCCTTGGTCATTGAAATGGGCAAAGCAGCTGCCCACGCGGATGTGAGTCCCAGCTTTTGCCTCTTTAAATTGATGCTGACCCTTTCTTCAGTGGACACTCTGTCTTATCACCGGACGAACAGAACCTGTTCATTTTGAATCTCATCAGCGGCGTCGATCAGTACAAGGTCCCATCATTAGAACGAATACGATCCTATTCCTACCCGATAGCCCGCAATCAACTAATGCAAGTCTGTGTACTGGGCACCCAGCTTGTGATAGGTGGAGACGACGGGTTTGCCCGGCTGTACGACATCGGTACAGGACGCTTGGTGCAAATGCTTGAACATAGCGGTGGTAAGCGAATTGTATTCGAGATTTGTCGTGCTGGCTGTTCGCGTCGCTCAAATATATCCGATCTACCTCTTTAACTTCTCGCGACAGACGCGACTCTGGTGCAAACTGTCTCGGTAAGTCACATCGCGTGACTCCCATACCTTGCTCACGCGTCTTTCCTTGCAGACTCACGAAGGTGCGCAAGACTGCGTAATTGTGACCGCCTCCACTGGCGATGGCCCATCGGAGATCAGAGTCTGGTCGCGAGTGCGTCATCATCTAGGTTTATGTTGATATGTGTCAACTGATGGCCGCCAGCTCCTTGGAATCCAGCATGAACACGAGAACAGCTCATTATCAACATCTTGGTCACAGACGATGATGGTTGCCTTCCTAACTGCCGCGTTCATGACATTCATTACTTCCGATAATGACTTCGGTCCCGGTCTGGCCGAGTACACCGCATACATTGCCACACGATTCTACGCTCTCTTCGATGACTATCGAGCCATGTAGCAAACAAGCACTTCAGGGTTTTGCACACCATGTAGTATCTGATACTCGTTAGTGTCGGCACTGCTCGTGGGCACCGGTTTCCTGTCAAGTCAAGTACGTACGTACACCAGTATTGTAGAGAGCCATATGCCATGCGATGTACTGTACCATACCTGCCGTATACACAACATCTTCATGACATCATAACGAATGAACACCGTTACTCGTGAACGAGACGATAAGTCATCGGTCTTTTCCCTTCCGCTTTCCTCTTCCTCTTTGTTTAGACCTCCAGGAGTCTGCGCGCTTCGTCGATTTGAGCCCAGGTTCTGTGGTACTGTGGACAAAAAATGGGTTATCTGGGGGGTTAGAGGGTAGTGTGCGACCTGCAGCGCTTGATTCCGACGGGCCCGCTTCCACCGACTGGTCATCGCTCGAGTTTGCTCGGCTTGATAGCATGAGCGCATCAAGCAATGAATTCGATTTGGCTTCCTTTGCGGTGTATGTGTATGGTAGCAATGGTCCATCAATCGGTGAGTAGTTCAATGGACCTGGTGGGCCTGGTAGCACAAAGTCGTCATCATCGGAGAGGTCACCGACTGATGAGTCTGGTGGGCCTAGTTGCGAAGATTCATC